GTTTCAAAATTCGTCAGAATTTCGACGGGTTATTTACTAATAGTTTATTATAATTTTGACAGAATTTAGACAGTCACCAGATGCAGCCACCACTACAATCTTATCATTTTTATATGAAGATATAATATATCATCATGGCTTTCCAAATGAAATCATCTCAGACCATGAAATAATATTTGTAAATGAAATTATAAAAGAACTTACTGAAAAATACCAAATAAAACATCATCTGTTAGCACTATACCACCTACAAACCAATGATCTTGTTGAAAGATTAAATAAAACATTGTGTACTTCTCTTGTCAAATATGTTCAGCTATATAAACAAGACTGGGATCACTTTTTACCATCAATATTATTTGCGTATAGAACTATAAGACAAAATATAACTCAATTTGAACCATTCTATCTCACTTATAGTCAACACCCATTGATATTGAATTACAACTAGCTGATTAATCAAATTCGACTGTAAAAATTGAAATTGTACATCATGCTTGTGCAATAATTGACAAATTGAAAATCAATCATGAATTAGTACTTTAAAATATTCAAAAGTTTCAAGTCAAACAAAAAGAATATTATGATAAAAACAAAATTCAAAAATCTTTTCAAATTGGTAACAAAGTTCTTATGAAGTATATGAAAACTCAATACTGATATCATGATAAGTTTGGAGAAAAATGGAAAGGTCTATACTATATTCATGATATTTTTGATAAAGATACTTACAAACTTCATTCAATGGAAGATAAAGTTCTCAAAAATTCATATAATAGAGATCATCTCAAACTCTATAATGAACAACTAGCATTGGAATCTATTATAATTATTAATTAATTTTGCGGAGCAAAATTCTCAAGTGGAGGATCCTGTTACTATTCTATCTTTTATCAACTATATCACATTATATTTTTAGTGTAATAATATTCATTTAAACTTTTTCTTTTATTTTTACTTTTCTATATTTCTTATATTTTTATTCAATAACAATAATTTATATTTTATCCAATTATTTTACATTATTATCACATCATTTTAGTTTAGATTTCATCATTATTCAATTTACCAATCAATTCATACTATTATCACATTATTTTAAATCTTATTGTTACTTTATTTTAATCTCTTATTACATTAATTTAATTAGTGACATATAGATTTTATACAAACTCCTTTTTAATATTACACAATAATTATTGTATTCCAACATGTAATAAATCTTTACTTTTATTAATTTTACTTTGTAATCTATATATATAAATAACATGTAAATTAGTATAACTTAAATTCACTATATATGTAATATGAGAATTAACTTGAAATAAACTAAGAAAATTATATCTTGATTTTAATTTTTGTTTTATCTTTTTCACTTTTCTTGTTTATTTTTTTTGTTCATTTTATTTTTGTTTGTTTATGTCTTGTTTTTCTTTTGTTTTTCTTTTATTTTCTTTTATTTTGTCTTTATTTTACTTTTGTTGTTTTTACTTGTTGTCATATTGTCTTTTATCTTATCAATACACTTTCTAATTTTGATTAATAGCATACATTTAGTTTTAATATTGTCTTATTATTATTCAAACACACTTAAACATTCATCTTATATTCATATTCTTATTAGTTTATTATTATCAACCATCCACTTTCATCATTTATATCTCTCTTATTTAAAATCTGTCGTGAACACAGTCACTGTTAACTATTTCTAAATATTTTCATATGTAAGAACTAGAAATAGTAGCAATATCAAATTTTTAATTTATATATAAAGTAAATAATATTTAAATTATTATAATTCTATTAAAAATAAAAATTAAAAATATTTCTAGTATTCTAATTAAATTAAGTTTAATCTATAATTTAATTCAGAATATATATTTTAGATTAGATTAAATTGGGGTTAAATCTAATTTGAAATAATTTGAATTTGATCTAATTTAAAATTATTAGTTTGGGTTGACTTTAAATCCAATTTGATTTGATTTGATTTGAACAAAGCTTTAAAAATTTCTTTCTTTTCTAAAAATATAATTTTATTTAAAAACTATTAATTTGAAAAAGAATTTTTTTTTATAAGATAATTAAAATTAAATATCTTATATTATCTCATTTTGTATAATAAAATTTTTATTTTTATTAGTAAATATTTTTTATTTTTATATAAAAATAAAGCTAAGAATTTGTATTTTAATATATAATAGCTAATAAAATTATGAAATCATATATGTAATTTTATTAATAAAATATAGTAAAAATTAAAATTTTCATTTTATATATATAAAAATTTTTAATTTTATATAAATAAAAGTTTTAATTTTTATTATATTTTATTAACAAAGTTACATATATAATTTTATAATTTTGTTAGTTACTATATATTTTTTATAAATTTTTTAAATTTAATTTCAAGAATATTTCTAATTATAAAGTTAATTATACAAATTTACTAAATTTTAATTATAAAAAGTTTGTATAATTAATTTTATAATTATATTAAAATACAGATTTTTAGTAAGGTAGACATGGGTATTATAATGCACTACCTAAAATGACGCATTACTAATAATTTACATAATAAGCTATTAGTAATGTGTCATAATTTAAACTATATCATAATATTCATATCTACATTATATAAAAACCAAAAATATTTATCAATAAAAATAAAATTTTATTATAAAAAGAATATTTTTATTTTTATTATATTTTATTATACTTTTTTTGGAATTCTGATAATTTATTATAAAGATATATATATTAGATTTAATAGTAATTTTTTTTAAAAATATAATTATAGCAAAATTTTATTATAATTAGTTTTTAACAAAAATAATTATAAAAAAATTAATTATTTTTGTTAAAATTTTAATAAAATTGAAAAATTTCTGAATTTAACAAAATATTCATTAAGATATAATCTATATGTAAAAAATTATTTAGTAATTATTATAAATTTTTTTATTGCAAATTGAAATTATTATTTTAAATGAGAAATTTATTATTTATAAAATTTTAATATAGTTTTGATTTCAACAAACTTATTAAGCAATATAAAACTTTCAAAGTTCTCAAATCTGGAAATAAAAATGAATTTTTATTGGATTAGCCATTATTGCTATCGTTATAATATAAATTGGTTATTATTGATTATATTATTTTTCGTAATGTTCTTGACAAAGTTCTGTTCATATTTAATTGTTTGCAAATGTATTCAACTATATAGATTTCAGATTATAACCAATAATAAAAATAATGGCATTTTTGCAAAAATTTTCCCCTTTATTTTTTTTTATTATTGCTGTACAATGAAAATGAGAATAAACGACATTTTGATTAATACTAAATAATGAATGAGTGGATAATAAATGGAAGACGAGATCCAATCATGCACTTCTCGATTAACGTTGATTATTATACTGTTTAAATTGTGACATAATGTCAGGTATATTTTGTGTTGGGCCACCGATTGGAGATCCATATTGAGAGGATTGAGGCTGTTGTGCTAAAGCGTTATGCGGAGGTATTGCAATTGGTGGAGGAGGACTATTTAATGGAGGTTGACCCATCATTGGTCCATTGTAAGAGATTGGACTTGAAGATGATACAATATTTGGATTCATGTGTGGATGAGAATGAGGGGGAGGAGGCATTGACATATATGGATTTTGATGATGATTATTCATCGGAGGAGCATTTTGTGGGGGCGCAAGTTGTCTCAATAATTGCTGAACATCAATATTTGGTGGTTGCTGATGTTGTTGATGTTGTGGGGGTAATATTCCAGCAACGGCTGATGATGGCTGTTGTGCTTGCTGAGGAATAACGCCTCCGAGATTACTGATTGGCATAGAAGGTATTCCTTGTCCACCTGTTGGTGGCATATTAGATGGAGGTGGGGCTGGTTGTTGTTGCTGCTGCTGTTGTAGGTTTCCCAATAAATTTGCCAGCGCAGCAAAATTTACATTACTTAATAATGGAGGTGGTGGTGGAACAACATTCGATGAGCCCGGTTGTTGTTGCTGCTGTTGAAGCTGATGTTGATTTATCGGTAGAGGATGTGGTTGTTGTTGATGTGGTGGTATTGGTAGGAGCGGTGGTTGTCCCATCATCATAGTTTCTGGTGCACCTCTCATGTCAATAGGGGGTTGAGAAGCACGCGCTCTTAAAATTAAACCAACTACTTCGTCTATTCTAATGTTTTCGTATTCTGTACAGAATATAAAAGCAATTAATGATACTGAATTTATAATGAGAAATAAAAATTGTAATTGTTACTAACCATCATATTTTACATTGGCATCTCGTGTCCTTAATGACTGATCAAATACTTGCACGTTAACTCTCCCGTTAAGTAAGAGCATCCTCTCAAGGAAAACCATAGCATGAACACCTTCAACAATCATTTGTCGTACAACAGCGTTAAGATGGAGTTTTTTCCTGGATACATGTATGCTATGTACGGAAATCGACGCTTCGGTAAAAGCACGCTCAACTTCCCATAACATATTTCTGTGTAATAATTAATTAATTTGGATAGAAAGAGAACAAACATATTAATTTTGAACATCGAAAATTTTATTACTATTATATTAACCTGTCGATCTCATCCAAAACAATAATTTGACATTCCGGTACTTCATTTCCATGACGTCTTGGCAAAGGAAACTCTTCGTCGTGTTGCTGTTGCTGCTGTTCTTGAGACTCTGAGCGATAAGAAAATTCACGACTTGGTCTTCTCTCGTTGAATTCCCGAGATGGAATTCTATAAGGTTTCGCGCGATTAACATATCGCTCTTCGCGATGCTCATCACGATACGAATTGCGGCGGTATCCTCCTCTGTCGTTGCGATTGCCACCACGAAATTCGAATTCTTCACCATTACCACGATATTCTCGATGATCTTCGTAGTTACTACTCCGAGAATCATAAGATGCACGACGGTCAATTTTATGTTCTTGCTGTCGATTACGCTCAAATTCATCGTAGCGACGATCCGGTGGAAAAACTTGCTGCTGCCCGTGATGCCCACGGGTTGGTGAAAACCCACCTCGTTCATGTTGATGCCAATCATCTTTGTAGCTTCCTCGACTATTCTGTCGACTTCCTTTGAATCCTCCGTCATCTTGTGAAGCATGATGCCAAGGTTTTCCATGTGACACTTCTAATCCTATAGATATAATAATAACCAACAGAACAGATATATATTAGACATGTGTGTAAAAGCGAAGAAATGCAATCAAGGAGACATTGTTGAGTATCTTGCCTAGTTTCAATCCATGCAGAACTCGTCCATTTTCTCTCTCAATGGCACGTAATACACTTTCCGGATTATCATATTGTACGAACCCAAAACTATTTTTAATTGATATTTGTAAAATTTCTCCATACGGGGAAAATATATCAAAAAGTTCTTGTTTTGAGGTGGAATGTGTTGACAAATTTCCAAGGAATAAACGAGATCCTACAGGTAAAGCTTGAAATTCAGCATCTGATATTCGGCGTATAGTAAAACCACCACCACTAGGTTTACTGTTATTTTCAGTTTTTTCACTGTCAGCATGGGAGCTCGAGTGACGACTATTTCGCCATCTACGAGACTCAAAATTATTATTGTTATTTTCATCTTCATCGACGATAGATGATTTATTATGAGTATGTGAGTAAATAGCAGCAGGGTCTTTGTTTTCAAAATGATCTGATGGGTCTTTGGGTTTTAATGAAGAGTCAATTTGCATCATTGAATCGGTACTATTGGTTCTATCATCATCATTATTATTATTGTTATTATTATTATTATTGTTGTTGTTATTATTATTATGATTATGATTATTATTATTTGATGGCGATGATACTTCATAAAGCTCATCCGGTTTTTTATGGAGGTTATTTAAAGATGCAGCACGCGCTAATTCAGATACTTGTTCTGCAGGAGAGGTATTGGTATCTGCTACTATTCCTGAAACATTGGGTATACTATTATGATTATAATTATTAACTTCTGGTTTGGGATTTGGCGATACAGAAACTGTTATATGAGACGATGATGACGATGTGCCTATATTAGTTGCTTCGGATATTTTTGGGGTCTCTATTGATGATGACTCTTGAATTGAATTTAGGGCTGTAGAAGAAATAGCAGGAGCAGTATCAGCGTTCAAATGTTTGTTCTCAGTAGTGGCATTGGGTTCAATTTTATTTTCTATCTCATCAACATGTGGGTTAGCAGCATCGGGTGGATGTGTAATACAAATACTACTGGGTGGAGTCTCTACCAAATTTTCGCCAAAAATGCTCATTGGTTCATCTTCGTGATTTATTCGGGATGATTTATTATTATCATTATTATCATTGGGTTCATTGGAATGTTCTTGCTCATGCTGCAACAATCTATAATGATGTACATTTTCAGCATCGTCTCTTTTCACATAGGAGGATGAAGAGAAGGTAGAGTTGGAAGTAGCGGAAGAGAATGTGATGTTGGTGGTATTATGATGTTCTATTTGAAACTGATTTGGATCATTATCAACAAATGCTTGATGATTATTATTTTCTTGCGATATAGAAGGATTTTGTCCCTGTTGGGAAGAGAAATATGCCATGTTATTATCATTAAGTTCTCGTTGTTGATGTTGAGTAACAGCTGCTGCTTCTTGTTTATCTATTCCTGCTTGAACAACACTTGTATTTTTATTTTCTAATTCTTGCTGTTGTGTAAAATGCGTCATATCTGATTTATTATAATTATAATTATTCTGAGAAAGACTAAAACTTTGATCGTCTCGATTTTCGAAATTACTATATATGGTAGAAGTCTCATTCATTTGATTTTGCAACGACGACAAGCTTTCATTGTTGTTATTATTGTTGTTGTCTTGTTGGTACATTGAAGCCGAGGAGTGTAAATTATTTTCTGCTGCAGAAGACGACGGCGGCAGCCGTGACACTCCTGCTGTAGTCAAATTAGTGGTAGTAGCAGTCAGGCTCTTTTCAGAATTAGGAGGAAGGAACACACGAACTCCTTCAGAGGACGAAGGTTGTTCAATAGTTCCACTCATTGCTTTCTAAATATTCAACAACGGGTTTCCGATTTGTAATATCTAAAAAAAATGATGATGGTGAAAGATTCTTATCCGAATTTTTGGGTGAATAGTAATGTGCATACATTATTCCAGGTATTTTTTCCTACATATATAGATTCGATTCATTTATTCAGTTCTGGTCAAATTATAGTTGTGGTATTATATAGTCTCAAATGAGTGCAGCAGCTGGAATTAATCATAATACTAACAATGGTAGTAAGGCTCATTCTGGAACCAAAAATTCTTCACAACAGCAGCTTCTATTCTTCGATTCACTTACTGCCAGCTCTTCTCATAACAACGACGACCTTCCGACCGAATGTATAAGATTCCATCAGCGGGTCGTATTGTCGGAAATTTGTATAGTTCCTAAGAATTTTAGACCGTTTTTGGGAAGCCGTAAGAATGATTATGCTGGGTTTGTATATATATATATATATGGCGATATATGTGCTATAAAATACCAAAAATTCTGTTTTTGCCGATATCAAAAAGAAAGAGATTATGTTTTACTATTGATAATTATCATTTATTTTTAAATAGACAAACCACCCCCTCCAAATTTGATTTACAACTTCTCATCCACAAAATGGTGACTTCGGATGTAGCAAAATCTCCCACTAAAAAAACTCTTCCAACATATCCTCTACACCCATTTACAATCTCCTACGACGAAAGAAGAGGATACCAAAGCTTTGATGTAGCATTGTCACCAGAGGTGAAAATTCCTCATTAATTTACTACTACCTATAATACTATTTATCTCCTGATCTTGTTGTTGTTGTTGTCTATTATATTATTGCTTTGGTTAAAATGTTTATAAAAGCCAAATAAATGAATGAATAATGGCTTGGTAGGCGACAACTCGGTTTATCATTCTACGTGGAAACTACCAGGCTGTGACACTTTGTATATACGGTCGAGTGGTGGAGAGTAATAAGTTGCTTGGTAATAATCCACAATCGAAGGCAAATATCAAAGAACAAAACAGTAGGGGTGGTGTTATGACTGAATCGTCTTTATCTTCTGCTATTCACAAGTCAACATTTGATACCGTTGAAAAAAAAGATGAAAATGAGAGAGGAAATTCAAGTATAAATAATATCTCTAATGAAATGATGGCCTATCAGCAGCATATCTTGGAATCAAATAAAAATATGTCAATAGATGATGATAATAAAATTGTAATTTCTGAATCTTCATCTTCATCCTTAAAAAATTCTGTTGTTCATAATTCAATTATCGAAGGAGGACTGCAGCATGACTCTATATCATCATTAATTCTTAATCCGAGCCTCGAATCTCTTCAAGACACATCAACATCAATAACAATTCCGATAGATGGTGTTCGAAAAGAACGGACTATACCATCATCTTTCATAGTAGAAAACAATCCTGTTACAAAATCTGCTATATACTATGAAAATGAAGAGCATCTCTTTATGGAGGAAGATAGTATATATAATATAGACGATGGCATGAAAGATATTTCTGACGAAGAGCGTATTGGAATGCTTTTTAGAAAAGATCGGACCGGAGCTTTCAAAGTGCTAAGCCCTTTAATTTTGCCAAAATGGATGATGGCTTATGATCCAGATGAAAACTTTATGAACGGCTTACTTTTGGTAAAGAATAATAATATTGTTTACATAAAATTAAGTTAATTTTTTTTAATATTCCATTTCTGTTTTTCTTGTTTTGTAATAGCGTCATTCTTCACCCGACGAAACTCTTATTTCGTTGGCAAGAAATTCATTTTCGGAAACTCATTTTAGAAAATCTTGGGATCAGTTACGCCGTATTGTTCGTGAAATTGATGATCTGTTGTCCAAACCGCTAGATTCAAATGCCCTTGAGAACATTGATATAGAGACGCAATCCACTACTAAAAACATTGCTTCTTCTCTAACAGAATTATTCCGCCAGGCGAATGATGCGATAGTAGAAGCAATTGTTTGGGCACAACATCATAATAGTAAATATGAAGGTGACCTAATGATTATATGTTTTTTATTATATATTTTTGCAGATATATGATTATTTTATTTTATTAATACTATTGGAAAATTTAGATAAAGTTTCTTCGATAATGAAAAGTATAGTTTATGCGCTTGACTTAACATCCGGAAGGGTAAGCAATAAGTTTTTCTATATATCATATACAAATAATTTGATATCCTCGTTATGACAATTCACTTCATATTTTAATTGTCATTTAGTCTTCTGTAAATCTATTCGAAAATGGCCTTTTATTATTGAGCAAACTTTATTCATGCGGAGACGATATTATTGATAGCAAATGGGTTTGTACACGATTTTACCTTACCTCCATTTTTACTTTACTCTTATTAATATCCAATTATAATGTACAGATTCCAATATGCTTGGAAAAAATGCTTACTTTGCTAAGCACGTCTTATACTTCGACATTTTTGCAGACAAAAATTCTTGAAGGCTTAATTAACTGCATGGATGATTCTAGAGTTGTTGAAAGGCTACTGGGCTGGGATGAAGAAATATCTGATAAAATGACCCTCTATCAAACTTTTATTCTACCAATGTTGCAGTCAGATAAATCGGCTTCGCGTGTGTTATACTTATTACAGGCGATTATTCGTAAAGTTTCATTATACGAGGCATGTTTTCAGATACAACGAACAGCAAACGAAGCACTCGAGCAAGAATTATCCCGAAGAAAGGGGAAAACATCTAAATTAGGAAATTTTGTTCCGGAAGAGGATCCAATAAAGCATCAAAACATTGAGAGTGAAGATGATAATCAAATGGATATTGATAATGTTCCTCAGGATTATGACGACAGCATCGAACAAATTATTGAAAGAATTATTAAATGGTTAAAGATTATATCAAAAGTGGCTCTTTATCATATGGCATTGAATCCTAATGAATCGAACAATGACCATCAACCTTCTTTTTTCAACTTTCGCTATCTCACATCTACTCGCTTATTTCCCGCAATCACCGTTTTGTTTTCATCGCATCGATTTCGTTCTTCCAATAAATTCAACGATCTAGTTAATTCTGTTGCAAGATTATGCGTGACTTTGTTGACTGCACCGTCCGGAATGCTTTATTTGGCTAAGCAATTGCAACCAAGACCTGGGTCCTCCGTTGAACCATTATTAACCCTATGGACTAGTCTTTTATGTCACGAAAGTGCCGCAAATATAAATAATCAAATGGATGAATCTGAGGCATCACGGACTATTCCTCATATTGTACTTCAACGATGGGCAGATGCGACCGAAATACGACAAACAATCGGTATTGCCGATATTTTATGTGGATTTGGTAAAAGTTCGAATGGTGGGAATTATGAAGAAGATTATGATTATATTTGTGATTATTCCGAGGATGATTCTCAAACCCATTATTGGGAGGATTCTGATATGCGAAAAGCAAGACGCATATTAAGAATGCAGAATTATGGCGCTATTGGCGCAAAGATTGATCATCTGGATCATTTTATTATTTCATTCGATCAACTAATTATTTTACTGGCATACCAATTATATGCTATTGCTGCAGTTGAAAAATTATTAGAATTTGGCTCTCAAAGGTTAGAGGATGATCTCTGGGTAGATAACAGAAAGATAGTTTCCTTGTTAAATGATTTATTCGAAATGACTGCTTTTTCAGTTGGAAAGCAGGTAATATACCATACTTTTACCATTAGCTAATATTTTAAAATTATCGGCAACATCCAATATGACCTCAAAACTTATATATCTTTCTTTAGGCTGTGGCATCAACTATAATATATCTTGATGCGTTGCCAATTTTATTATCATTTTTAAATAACAACCAATCTGATAATAGCAATATTCTTAATTCCGTCTTCAATCTAAGCTCAAATTTCATTGGACGGCTTCCACTTGAACTATTGGAAGTTGTTTTAAAATTTTCCCGTGCATTTCCATATATGCTTACCCCGGACATTAACGAATTGGTCTCTACATATGTGATTTCTGAAACGCATTTACGTGCATTGTGGGAGCCAATTGCTATTTTTCACGAGACTGGAACTATTCAGAGCGTTATTGATTTGATTAAGCAACAAAAATTTTATCCGGAATGTCTACGAGATCACACCATTGTCAATCAAGTATTAATAGCCATGCGATTATTGTTAACATATACATATACGGATAGAGGAATAATGCAAATACTCAAAGCGCGAATGGATGATTTTAGCGGATTAGATAACGGTGATAGTCTTTTAATTTTCTTGTTGAGACTTTTAAACTATAGCGCTGAGGTGTTATCGGATTTAAGTGATTTCGCTGTGTATACTGAACAGCCATCGACCACCGATCCTTCTGTATCAGAAGGTTATCTTGGTGATGCAGCAAATCCAGCAATTCAAGATCCAGCAAAATCGATTAGTTCTGAGCAATCAAAAGAAGAAAATGATTCAACCCAAGGTCCAAATTTTGTTTCTTCAAATATTATGCTCTCCTCAGAGGTTTTTGAACTCCGTCGAGAGCTGCTCGAACTGGTTTGGTGTGATCTCATTCTTATCCAACGACTGCTACTCTCCATTTATGGTGATCCACAGAGCAGTGCTGCGCGACGCCATTTTAACGATATTTACGGTAAAAGGGAGTCGCCTGATGATCCGCTGCCATCTCAAGAAAAATCGATGATTCGAGCATTCGTTGAGCCATTATTGATGCTGATGTCAGCTTTAGATCACATTGATGGTCGTCTGAGCGATCAACTTGGTGCTGCTTCATTGTTATTTACAGAACAACAAATTAAAAGTGGTCAATCAGCGCAGATTGCCAGAATTCGTGGCTTGATTTTTAGTGTTTTTGGTCTTTTAACTCAGGTGAAAATCGAAGAAACTGACACTCAACAACAGCAGCATGATAAAGAAGCATTGAGTTTTCGGTTTTTTTCGATGTTTGCTGGGCGGCACGTATTTAAGCAATTATGCGAATTCATGTCTGAAGGTCCTGATAATATATTAAGTGGATTGCACGTAGTAAGTGAGATACTTCCCGTTCCATTACCTTCACGCAAAAATCTACATGATTTGCAAAGTGACGGATTCACAGAGGATACATATCACAATTTACACAGTGATGAATGGGTAACTGTTCAACGCCAAGCCAGGCTTTTACGCAAATATTGGATCGAACAATTAATTCCATTGAGAGATGAATTGATGCGACTAGTCAAAAGCCTAGCTCCTTCCAGCTCAAAAATCTTACATATTATGCTTAGAACTGTTATTTCTCAGGTCGTTGATTTAGACATTCTTGACAATGGGCTGGCACGAGGTATTGTTGGCGTTGTCATTAATGGAGTACGTGAAGCTGCACATCAATATAAAACAGCAATAGATAAAATAGACGCGAAAGTAGTCGAGAGTTCTAGCATTAATGTAAAGACCGGTAATAATACTAGCACAGAAGAGATACCGATGAATCTTTCGGATATTGATACTGAGCACACGATATTAGGTCGTTGGCTTAGTCTTTTGGCGTCATTATCTGGATACTCTTCCGGAAGAATCTTAGTGCTCGAGATGCTAAGGGAAAGGGTAGATGACCCGATGATCTTGGATGATACGACCAATGAGCAGCACTTTAACGATGATCCCAGTTTAATATCTTTATTGCTTGATTTAGTTCGTACAAACCAACAAATGGATTATACTTCGGATCTTATAATGGAAATATTCTATTCTATTTGTGATAATACAATTGCTATATCTAAAAATAATATACTTGACATTAAAGAACTTTCTACGATAGTGGAAACACTTTTGGATTGGGTAAAGCAAGGCAAAGATGGTCGTCTTCAAATAGAATCACTATTGGTTTTACAAAAAATCACAGAAACCGAGATAGGTATCATGTTGATATTATCTGAATCTAATCACCGGCAACTCATTAGTAATATGTTGACGTGGGTTCCTGATTTATTGAGATCACAAGATTTAGGAATGCGAGATTTAGATATTGCTTATCATTCAATCATTTTTATTCAAAAAATAATTGATTGTTCCTCTTCATGGAGCTCAAAATCCGACAATTTCAATAATGATGGTATGGTAATAATAGAAAAAGATTATAATAACGTTAAGCCTCTTGCCGTGTTAATTGATTCCGCAGAAGATCTCGATGCTCTCTTGAAAACATACGAAAACATAGAACAACATGTCCTTGAACTTCCATTCGAACCGAGTCACGTCGAAGAAGAGGTATATGATATGGAAATGTGTCAATTACTTGCCAGTGTTATAAGACGGTTGAAAGAAGCATTTCGAGTGTATTTACGTGAGGTGAACGATGTTCACGGAAGAAATGGAATTGACGCTGAAGAAATTATCGAAGAATTTGGTCAAAGATTGTCTGAACTTGTCAAACAAGGGCAAGAACAAAACCCGAAGAAGAAAAACGTGCCTCAAAATACTGTTGGATCTAGGAGCCACGGAGCAACTATCAGTAAGTTTCGGAATCAATTACATTCGGTGCACTGTTTAGCCGATCAATATTTGAAATTGTATAACTACTACTACTATCACTATCATCAACAAAAAACCCAATCAAAGGCGATCTACCCCACATTCCTTTCTACGACGTGGTGGACGACGCGGAAGGTAAAGAAGGTGACGGCGGACTATTTAATATACCGGACGCTGAGATCGATTTCGAACTCTTTGCAAAGGAAATGTTGCCCAATTTTCAATTTCATAAAAAAATGAAAATGACAGGCGATAGTGCAGCAAAGGGTAGAAAACTATTGAAAGCACGGACGCTTAGTAAACTCGGCGGTGTTGCCTATGAAAGCAATGCACGTAGAAATTTAGGTGGTGGAAAAACCTACCAGAAAAACGAATTTCGTAGTATACATAATAATCGGAAGGCTAATACAAGTCGTCCTCCATCAGTCCATGTGGATGATTTCATGTCCGGAAAGATACCGGCAAATCAACAGCATCCTGATATGGTTGTATCAACTAGCAATGCCCTTTCAACTTTGGCAGCAGTCTCTGCTTCTACTCTACAACAAAAGAAAGCAACGAATATTTCCAATCGCCAGCCAACCCCTAATAAAAGAAGCAGTATTACAGCCACGACAGCAGCTCCTCCTCCAGCAGTTACTAGTGCAAGAGGTGGGCGTGGAAGACGTCCAAGTACCAGTTCAGGATCAACTCCTCGTGGTGCAGCACCTCGTGGAGCAAGCAGTACTGGAAGAGGAACCGCAGTAGGCAGAGGTAGCACTGCCAATCCTGCAATAGTGGGTGCATGGGATATAGGAAATGGTGCATGGACAGGTGCTCCTCCACCTCCTTTATCACCAATGTTAATGCCGCCGCCTATGTCAAAATATATGGAATTTGATAGAAGAATGGAGGGGCAGCGAGATTATCCTCCACGTTATGAAAGTCAACCAATTCGAACTGGATATTATGACAATCCTTATTATGGTGTTCCTTCGACAATAGTACCTTACGATCGGCCACCAGTTCAACAGTCTGCTCCTGGTATGGGACCAAGAATAAAAAATGGGAGTGATAATCGTGGAAGGACTATCCCTCAAGAATGGACACAGAGATCTTTAACTTCGCAAACTTTGCGGCGTCCCGAAAGACCATTTGGTCGACGATAATTTTATTCGTTTTTTTTAAATTGGATTATAAGATCAGTTTTGTTTTTTTGAATTGTGTAATTTGGCCTATTTTTTTATTTTAACAATTTACAGATACAATAGTAGAATCACAATTCTTAAGCTAGAAATAAGATCAGCTTATTTTTAACTATAAATTATACCGAATTACCACGATAAAACCTCAAATAACTTCCGACATTGAGTAAACCCCATCTTTCTTGACTGTCAACTTTTTCCTCCTTAATAAATACTTGATCCATCAACCCTATCTTTTTGCCATCTTTATACACTTCACCATAATAATCTACTATATACAAACTAGGATTTGATTTACTGATGCCACAAATAATAGTTCGTTCTACCATTCTACAAGAAAAAAGATTTAATATTTTAAGAGAAGCTATTTTCTCCCCTACCAATGATTCACATGTAACGTCGTTACATCCGGTGATAAACAACTCTTCTATTTTAGGTGATCTTTTGAGAATCTCTAAAATATTAGAATCATTGACATTCCAACACCAATCGAGATTAAGCCTTCGTAATTGAGGCTGATTTAATGACTCGAGGGCTATATTGGTAACATTGGTGCATTCAGAGAGGTCAAGCGAGACAAAGGAGTGGCCTCGTAAAGTAAGATGCTCGAATAACCGACAAAACCTAAAAGTATTCTATGAAATATCAGATAAGCGAGATTATAAAGGCAAAAATGGACCAAAAAATAATGACCCTATTTCTGTAAACGCAGCTCCCTTACGCAACCGCAGATATCTGAGTGACGGGCAAAGATTACGAATTAAGCCATCAAGAAAAACGTCTGTCAAATCGCAAAATGACATGGAGAACAAGACTAAATCTGTACAATGTTCAAATATCGAGATGACTGGTGCATCATTTATTCCTTGTCCATCTATGGCGAGGTATCTTAAGCCATGTAGATGAGCAGCCAGGTGTTCAATACCAGCATCCGAAATCTGAGGGCATCCATCTAAATCTAATTTTGTTATTCGGTCACCAAAACTAGAAAGATTCCAGAATACTGCATTGCTCAAATTTTCGTTGTATGATAAAACAATAGTTTTTAATCGGTCTACAAGCATCTCGAGCGGTTGAATATCAGTTATTTGATTGCATCCTTCCAAGAATAATTTCTCTAAGTTTACGCAGTGGTAACCGATGTATATCAGACATTTATTTGTAAGTTGAGGGCCCACAGACAGATCCAAGACTATATGAAACAGTGATATATTAAATAAATATGGAATAAAATATATTACCATTGTACCGGAGTATATTTTTACCTTTTAGTGTCTTTCCCGCAGGACCTATAACTAAAAGTCTAACTTCTTCGTCCGAAATACCGCTCGCTCTTGCCTCTAAAAATTCTACTTGAGATAACCTATTTAAAATGTTATTTTTGAAACCTTTGACATTGTATAACATTGCCTCATGCCATAGCGAAGGAGAGTATATAGCATCACACCAAACGCGCGATACACGGGCAGCATTAACTTTATCCAGTTGACCAAGAAAGGAAAATATTAGTAAAGTTATTTCATTGGGAAGGAATAGTAAAGGGCGGTCATATTTTTTGAGGTCGAAATTATCTTGAAGCGCTTGCTCTTGATTCATATTAACTTTTTTAATGTAGAATATTCGAAATAATTTTCGTTTTTACAAATACATGATGTTTATCTAAAGGTTATTGTGAAAGAACAGATTTGCGGAATGTCAAATAATATTGATCGTTAAAATTAACTAAATTAGATAATTTAAAAATCAATATAGACTTTTGACTTTCTAATTATTAATAACTTTATACAGTCAAATCTCCATATAAGATATATAGTCTAAAGAGATTGTAATTGTATAAAGATTTTTTAATCTTTTTTAAATATTTTTAGAAAAGAAAAAACATCCAATATTTTGAATTACATAAACTCTGTATCCTAATATGTAAATACAAAAAAAGTACAATCTAGTCACATTAACAAATTTTAATTAACTTTGAATCTTTTCATACTTTTACAAAATGCATGTAATTAAAATAACTTTTATAAATTAATTAAATATGTAACTTATTAGCTTTTAGTTTATGAAAGCAAATTTAAGTTTATTTAATTTTTCATAAAATAATAACAGTACTAATGATACGTAATAATAAAGAGTTTCTTTACTTTCAGTATCAATAGTCATATAGAAATATAAAAGAGAATAAATTAAAATAAAATGAAATTTAGTGAAAGCAAAGAGAGATATCTAATATTTGTGCTAATTTTTATAGAAATTATTAAACAATTTCACATATAAAAAAAGAAATAGTTAAAAAAGATAAAATAATTAAAGAATAATTAAACTAATAAATAAAATATTGATTACAGAATTATTATGTTCATGTTTACCAATATTAAATAAAAATATCAAATAATAAAATACTAATAAAACTAATACATTTATTTAGAGTTGATGTGCTTAACTAAATCAAAATCACTTATTTAAAGTTGTGATGCATAACTAAATCAAAATACAGTCAAACTTCTCTATAGTCACCATATTTAAGAAAGCAAAATTTGGTGATTATAGAGAGAATATAACTATAGAAAGATTTTTTTTATTATATTTATATATAAATGAAAAAGCAAAATAGCATCAGAAAATTTTTATATCTGAATATAATTGATTGTAATCAAATATAATTAATAATTATTAAAATTAAATATAATTAATTTTTTATTTAGAATCAATGATTATCTATAATCAATAATCATTAAGTTTAATTAATTATTTACAATTGATTATATTTAATTATAATCAATTAAAATTATATATGTATCAGAAAATTTGTATTCTGTTGATAATTAATAATCAATTATAATCAAATCTCTTTATAGTTATCATCCTCAGAAAAGCAAAATTTGATGACTATAGAGATAATGTAATTATAGAGAGATTTTTTTTACTATATTTATATATAAATAGGAAAGCAAAAAAGAGTGATTATAGAGATGTGTAATTATAAACAAATATAACTATAAAGAGATTTAACTGTATTAATTATAATTGATTACTTATTGTTAATTAATTGATAATGATTATAATTAATTATAATTAATTATCAATTTTTAATAAAATTATATGATTTTAATCAATTTTTAAATTTAGAGCAACTGTAAAAGTATTTTATTCTTTTAATTTTTCATAAATATAAATATTAATTATCAAAAAAATTTTTTAAAGAATAAATATTGATTATTATAATTGATAAATAAATATAAATATTTATAATAATTGTTATTTGTAATAATTACATTTTAATTAATTAATTAGAATTTGAGTTAGAATTAGAATTAAGATTCTGAATATATTATTAATTAATATTAAAATTATTACATACAATAGTTATTAAATTAAATTGATCCAATAAATAAATAACAATTTATTTATATTTAATAAAAATTATTATTATTAGATAAATTACAATTAATATTACATTAATTCTAATTTTGTGAATAATTAATATAATATTTATTATATAATTAAATTATTTTATTTATTTTTTTAGTTATACATAATCTTTTTTCTCAAATTAATTCAAAGAAATACTCAGACTTTGAATATATTATTCTTTGAACTTTATATTAAAAAAATTTCTGTTATTAAAAGATCTAATTATTAATATCTATTTTTTATTTATATTAATTATTCTATTAATTTATCTTTTACAAGTATATATACAATATTAGAAAGCTTTCAAAATTTAATTCTTGATATTAATTTAATAAATATTTCAAGTAATATTTTATTTTTATTAATATAATTATAATTGAACAAATAAATAAAAAATTTAGTGTATAAAAAAATATATTTAGAAGATTTACTATTCTAATTTGATAATTACCAAATTATTTTTTATATTTCTGATAATAATATTTTAATTTTCTATTATTTTTTTTTGCTTTCATTTTTTTATCATTGTATTATCTGATTTTTGAATAAATATCTTAAAATATTATTTACGAATGCTACAGTGTAGTTACGCTCTAGTTCTAGGATTAATTTAGCTTACATAGTAAGAAATACAAATTAAATAAAAAGAAAAGAGCCATCAAAAA